TGTGTGTGTCACACCCTGGTTCCAAGGGCTTTCAATTGTTCACCCCTCCACTACCAGCGTCACCGTTTCCAATTTAATTTTTCCACTCATATGACCTCATCACAGGCAGGGGGGCAGTGAATCTCATTCCATCCACTGCCCAACGAAGACGGTGGTTTGAGATTGTGAAATGACTCCGGGACGCTGGAGTCACGTACCTGCCAGATGAACTTTTGAACAAGCTGTCCACTTTGATCGGTTTGTTTCCATGGTCCTTCACGTTTCCTCCCCTAAACCCACTTTCCTGCAGCTGCGCTCGTCACCGCACCGCATGTACAGATCGACTTCGAGGCCTTTTTGAAACCTTTTTTAAACCATACTGTTTTGCCGACCTATGCACCTTTCCGTTCCCTCACCTTACTTCTCAACGTGGCAATTGAGTCTAACTGAAAACCCAAGTTCGAAGTGTGGGTGTTTAAATTACGGCTTTAAGTAATTTGCTTATGTTTGCCACAAAAATGAGAAAACATATATTAACTTTAAAAATAAAACAGTCCATCGGGCTGTGTCATCCACTCTAGACCTCTTGTAGTAAAACACGGGAATCAGGAAGCTCAACTGTTGTCGACCCACCCAAACGGGGTTGGGATGGTCGTGTCCTCCATCTTCTTGAGAAGCGTCTCTGCGTAGTTGGGAGAATAGTACCTGTGTGACACTCCAAAAAGGGTTGCAGGTCAGTCAGAACTCACTAGTCCTGATCAGGTTTGCAGTTCTTTCATGTTCTTTGATCTTTGCCCCTTAGTTTCGATGTTCACCCAAAAAACATGCTGCAATAGGAAGCTTGTATCCTGACATCCTGAACTCTTGACCCACTATATGTCACCCTGTGGTTTTAAACACTATAAACTGCCCGACCCTGTTGGACTCCAGGTGCCTGTGACGAAGCCCACCAACAACAAAGGCAGGGCACTGCACAATTTCCGGTGGGTAAAGCATGTTGATCTCCTCGATGTAGTCGTGCAGCTTGGAGCCCACCTGATACATAGAATCTCTTGCGTAATTACATAGATAGTAACCCAACAAGACAGTAAAATCAGCAGGATTGTACTTCCTTGGGGATCATGTTTTCCAATGTTTCATGGCTCGAAGGCTGGACAGCACCTCGGCTTTGACTTCCTGGATCTTCTGCAAACCACCTCGAGATCGCCCAGTGTTACGCTGCAGGTCCGCGGGATGGAAATCGAGAGTCATGGTGAGAGTCAACTTGTGCAATGAAAACTGTTGAACATGAGCTACCTGGGAGAGGGAACTGTTGATTGGAAGAATGATTGGATGAAACTTACTTTTTGGGGCTGGGGAATGGCAGTGGGAACACTGGCTTATGTCTCGGCTTGCTTCTGTGATTCTTCGTTCGCCGAGATTGAAGATCCATCTGACTCCTATAGGTCCTAGACTGTCTGCCTGTACAACCAAACAATGTGGAATCCAAGCTGCAAGAGAAACCCTGGTCGTCAGGAGTGGGTGCATTGTTCAACAAACCAACTACTACCTGCACCCACCTACAGGACCTACATGTTCTGTTTTCCCACCGTGTGTTCATCTTTGGCCTGATTGCACAAAGGACTTCCTGGCGTTGAGGTCGCTGGGCAAGACCTCACGCAGGTCGAGATCGCAACCAGGCACGAAGCACCTAAACGTCACTTTCTTTCTCGATGATTCATGAGGTGATCGAGGTGGTTACCCGAAACAACATAACACGGTATGAATCCAACAACCAAACCGTTCTGACATAGTACCAGTCTGGTTTGCAAGGGATATCTTAGCAGGACTAGCTGAACTTAGCCATTTTGTTCCAAAGTTGTGGAAGTCTCTGGTTTAGACTATGGTGCAGCCGAGAAGAAGGATGCGGCTGGTTCAGGTTCTGGCCCAATGAATTTCAATGGGCCAATGCTTTGAGGTGGCCCAGCTAAACGTGGATGACATGGAGACAACTGCAGTCAAGTCTGGGCCTTGGCAAACTGCTGCACCACGTACTTCAAGATGTTGGGCGGCGCCTGTGGACATGAGGAAGGCTGGTCCTGTTTGCAAGGTCTAGTGTCATATGCAGCAACAACAGAACATGTTCTGCCGCTACTTTCAGTTTCCTGTGCTTTGCACCCCTGTGACCCGGACGCTGACGATCTTTAAGACCCAAAACCGGCTTCGACGATTTAGCCAGACCTGCGGAACTGCCGAACAGCTATTGTTGATGAAACTCTTCCTGCAACACTTTGGAATTCGTCGATTTTACTGTTCTCGTGAGCAATTCCCCTCGCACCCCATCAAGAGAATCAATCTGGCACCTCCAAAAGGGGCTCCAGCGCCGGCAAGTGGGTGCACTTCTGAATGACGCTCTTCAAAGCGCGCTTCGCCTGGTTGCAAAGGCGCTCACATGGAAGGGTGAAGAAATCACCCTGTAGGGTTGATCCTTGTTGACCCACAACAAACAGAATGGACAACCCGATGTCAAAGTACTATGATTCCTCGCCGAGCATGGAAAGGGTGTTCGAAGTGGGTGTTTCGCACATGGAATGCTATATACATTTTACATGAAGCACCTCATTGTGAAAGATTGGTATTCACCCACAGCCACATGGAATGGAATCTACATAATTATATATATATAGTGATTGGCTGAGTTGGCCCGGGAATCAATTGCCCGTATATGTCATCATGGGTGATCTAGCCGTGCGACCTCGCCTTCGTTCGGAGATCTTCACTGGAGTCCTGGTGCAAGTAGACCTCACCCACATGGGAATCGCGTGAAAGGTGGGATGCGATGCCCTAGTAGCGTCCTTGTTCCTAGTAGTAAGGCCAGGAGCCCCTAGTAGCGTCCTCGTGCTCAAGAACGGTAGAATGTGAGAATGTGCTGGACTTGTTGCCATATATCGACCATGGGCCCGGGCTGCCAACAAGCGGCGCAAGACATCCTCAGGTTCACGTGTTGCATTCAGGCGGAAGCTAGGGAATGGATAAACTCAAGGGCAAAACAGGACATCGTGTTCAGAGGATGTCTTCTTTTCAGTCATGACATCTTGAACTAGTATCATTAACTTCTCTGCACATTGATTGAAACATTCAGTGCATTAACTTGTAACTATAATCGGACTGGCAGCATTTGGTTCCCTGACTGATAGCCTTTGACCTCACACCTGTCTTGAGACAAACCTGACATGACATGAGCTACTGTGAAAACCATATACAACAACCTGTGGTTGACAGGCAAACGTCGCAATTGCCGGTGAATTAAACAATTTAATTGCCTTGTCATCCTGACTAAACGATTCTTATCTCCGGTTTCGCCGTCCACCCCCTGGGTGCAGTGGCGGCTTCGGCCAGTGCACGAGCATGGTCCGGGCTGTGGCGGCCGATCCTCGGCGCATGGCAGCGCCACACAAGCGTGGCGTCCCCTAGTAACGTCCTTGCTCCTAGTAGCGATGCCAGGAGCCCCTAGTAGCTTCTTGTTACTAGTGGCTAGTAGTACAGCCAGGAGCCCCTAGTAGCGTGACCAACAAATGACTCAAAAGGACCGCACCTCCTGCACATTCGAGTACTTCTTTGAGTCTTAGAGCTACCAGCTATATACCCGAAGGCCGAGTGTTCAGACTAAGTGACAAAGGTAAACAGGTAATCTCGAAGATCGACCAAAATCATGGTGGGGCTGGTTTGATTCCCCTCAAGCAGCGTTTAAGCCACACGCATGGGTTTGCAGGCCAGGCATAGTCGGCAGAAATGGTTCTATCTGTTCTCAAACACAAGGTTTTCGCTGCTCTCAGTCTCCGCACTGGCCCAAAGACCAAGCAGATGCTGCCTCGTCAGGCCGGTGTCGAGAAGCGGTGTTCCTTCACCAGTGAACTGGGTCGCCTTGCCTCAAAAGACTCAGGGCACCCCCTCAGATCTCTATGAATCCATGAAGAACAGGAATGGTTGAACCAGGGTCTACCACATTCCAAAGTTCTCTCTGGCTTGTTGGCCACACCAGTGCAGTCCTTACTCGCTTTAGACACCAATGTGTCGACCGGCCGCGGCACTCACCAAGACATGCCGGACCGTCAAACCGCGGGAACAGTGAGATCGGGCATGCAGAGCTGGGAATGGACATTGTCCAGCCACCAACCGTGCTCACATAAGTCGTTCACGACAAGTGGTTCATCAATGTTCATCACCCTAGCTATGGTATATGGTGTCGTATATACATATATATATGTGTGTGTGTTATATATATATATATATTTAGCATTGTATAGCTGTACCACCACGGAATTGAAGGTAACCTAGTTGCTACCTAGAGCAAAGAAAGTAACTACAAGCATTCTGCAAACCAGCCATGATGCTTTGCTCAAAACGAGGAGCTCCTGAATCACCCTGTCCAGAACGAACATGGGTTCATAGCATGCAGATTCATCTCTAGATCCCCACCTTCCAAACTCAGAATTGGATGAAGTGGCAAAGCTCATCACATCTCTGCAAACCCTCCTCTAAACCAGAAAAGAACACCTGCCCTAGACTCACTTTATCTGGCCCAACCTAAGAACTTAACAAACTTGAAAAAATTTAAACCTCACCACTGGACCTCTGATGGTGGGGCGTGGTTGGTCACTGTTTGTGAATGGAGGTCATTTGTATAGAGTTCATCCCATCCGTGTTCCAACCCTCCCGTCAAAAGGTTAAGGGCCGCTCAAAAGTTGGGTACCCTGTTGTCACATCCTGGACTTGAACGAACACAGAGATTAAAAATACCTGCAGGTGTTCCTCTGGTAGGCTTCTTTCACCAACCTGCTGGATCAGGAAAACTTGAGAGAGGAGGGGGTGAACGAAAGGTAGCAGGCAATCACAAGCAACCCTGGTAAAAGTCCATGACGGCGTGAACCGGCGCAGGGGGGATTTGATCCAGGGGGGGCCCCCCCCCCGACGAACAGAATCAACTCTTACAGGACCAAATTCAATGCACAATCCCAACTCCTGAGTATAATACATTTTTGCTAAAGCAAGGAGAACTCAGGTAGCTCAAGCTACCTTTCGTGATAATTCTCAGAAGACCGTGTGGCATTTCCAATGCACATGAGCCACCTGGAGGTTCAGTCACTCACAATGCTACCCGCCCTCGGATCACCAATCCCCGCCCTATATCCGCCTTGAGGTGGTCTTCTGGCTCGTTGATGAGGGCATCTTTGAGGGGTGGGATGCCCTTGGACCTTAGAAGACACCAGGGAACACACACAGACTCTCGAATCCAGAAACAGTAATCCATGCGAGAGGATGAGAACCTGTATGATGGCCTGCAAAAGCATCATCTTCCAGGCCCATCATGAGTTAGCTGCAACGTGTGATCTTCTCCTTCACCCCCTACTGCCAGATCCAATCCCTCTCAGCATCCAACACCACCACTGCCAAGGCCAAGGTCTCGGAAAACCTCAGAGAGCTCTGCATCAAACCGACAAAAACTTCAAGAACCCAAAACTCTTTGAATCTTGTGACCTTCAGCAGCAAGGACGCTACTAGGGGCTCCTGGCCTTATTACTAGGAGCAAGAAGCTACTAGGAGCAAAGGGCATCGCTACTAGGAGCACGGACGCTACTAACTAGGGGCTCCTGGCCTTATTACTAGGAGCAAAAAGCTACTAGGAGCAAAGGGCATCGCTACTAGGAGCAAGGACTCTACTAGGGGCAACTTGTATGCTTCAATTTCAGTTGTCTTACCTTTATTGAAACGCTGACCTTAAGATCGGTGAGGGTGAGGTCATTCGCTGGATTCCCTTCACGAAGTGGTGTCTTCTACTTCCACATTCCTCTCGCGGCTCAATAGGGTCGTGTCAGATTGGATGTGATGTCGCAAATGACCACTGCTTTGCCAAGACAAGCAAACCACAGAGAGGAGGGTCTGCGAGTTCAGATGTGTTTCAAACAGGTGGGACCTCTCCAAAGAAAGGCGCTGTGAACTCCAGATCCGATAACTCTGCTCAGTGTCGAAGGTCCAGCTCTGTCCCCCCACGATTCCCTCAGGCCCCACAGCTGCTAGGAATCCCCTACGCTGCAATGTAGCCCAAAGTCATGATACCCGGCAGACGGTTGTTGCCACGAGCCTGCTGCCATACAGAGCAACGAAATTGACCCTCCATGGAAGCCGTACTCAGTGCATACAAATTGTTACAAGGTGCATTCTTCACCTGCCAGGCTATTGTGTTCCTCAGATTCGTGGACACGTCCTATGGATAGTCAAAAAGACAATGTGACGCAGTGGGGCTTGCTTTCTTGGAAACATGTTCTCCGCCCAGTTGGGGCGTCGGAATCGAGGGTTCATCAGTGGTACCCTGCAGCCACGAGCTTTTAGGTGATCGTCAGCTCTGGGTTTTCAGTTCGATGGGGCCCAGCCTCTGTGATGTAGTCGACCATGGCTGCCACGCCACCCGCGTTCACAATGAGCTTTGCCAAATCTGGAGTGTGGCCTCAGAGGTCGGAACCGCCAAATTGCTATTAGGTTGGAGGCCATCGCTATTAGGCTGGAGACCACTACATTATTGCTACTCTCATCTCCAGCCTCCTGAAGATCTCAGGTCCCAGAGCACAGCTGGCAGTCTTTGGGAGGAGCATTGCCGAGTAGAGTCCTTCGCTTTCCACGCTGAGCAGTCGGCCTCTAGCCAACTGGAGATACATCCTGCACGACTTGATATACCAAAAAAAACAAGGGATTCCCCGTATTATTCCTCCTATTCAACACTGCAAATGTTTGTTCTTCACATCTTCTCCGGCACTTTCCATCAGTATCACCTGGTATCTACCCCACCTCCAATCTCCCAAGAAATAACTCCAAATAGAACATGTAAACTGGAAGGAGCTCAAGCACGATGATCCTTATTATCTCCCCCTGGCTCCAAAAAGAGCTGCTATGAGCCCTCACGTGCGATCTCGCGGATGCAGGTGGCTGCATTCTTCCGCACGAACTCATCGATGTCCTGGCGAACCACTGAAAAGCGAGTAGTGGTCGTTGGTGGTGTGGAGTCCCACCCTAAAGTTGGAGCAGGGGGGGGGTGTCAACTGTCAACAGTTCCCATGTTCAAGAGGTCTTGTAGTCAAGAGGTCCAGGGAACAGACAAGCCTTGATATTGGCCTGATATAGCGCAACTTGCGGTCCCTTGATACAATACCACATGCCAGCTCTGAACCTCTTCAAATCGCCCCATCCGCCAAAACCTCTGCAACCTCTTTTGATTTCCCCCACCGCAAGCTCGCCGGACTCCAATAGACATAGCTAGCGTCCATAGGCTTCTTGACTCTGCACAAAGACAACGAATGCTGACCCATTCTGACCCCACCAGCGCAATGATGCCAAACCTGCATCTCAGGTCTCGCGGGGCACGAGCCTTCAAGCAGTGCAGGATCCGTGGGAAAATCTCTGCCTCCACGACCACCTCAGCCATGCACGCAACTTTCAGCCATGAACCCAAAGCCAGGGTTCTTTGACAAGAGCTTCATGGGATCGCATGTGTTTCCGTCCTGCCCCCTAACATCCCTGCGAACTTAGGCAAGGGCTGTCAAACTGGTGTTGCTACTAAAGAGGTGGTTGTCCATATGTGCGGGGCCAAACTGCAGAGGCTAAAAGATGCGTTCATTCATTTTTGGAGTGTCCTTTCACCGGACCATGATAGACCCCTGGACCAAAACCTCCTGATGGCCAACACAGGAATGTGCCGATCAACCGAACTGGGCACTCAACAGAGAAGTTGGGTTGCTCTGGGTTGCTAGGGTGTACTGTACGTGTACTGTACCCTCCCAAAGCACCAGTGTTCATCTGAGCGTGTCTGATCCTCCTCTGCTCTAAGAAGAGTCACTTGCATTCTCAAGGACCCAAACACCGTACTAAGTCTTACTAAGGCATGTTGAAGAAAATTGTCGAGCCCTTACTGAGTTCTTGGTGAGGCTCACTAGTGCTGAGTGCTTGCTAAGCAATCTTAGGCTTGCTACGCCTCACCGAGGCTTACTAAGGCCTACGGTATAGGCCTGACTAGGCCCTACCGAGGCCAACTGGCAACCCAGCCCATCCACCGCCGTGTCACCCAAGACTCGCACACGCCCCATGAATACCACCCTATTGGGCTTCTGTGACAAGAGACAAAAGATAGACACTTAACTTAAGAAGCGTGCAAACCAGACATACCCCTACAGCGGTCCAGTACTGAATGGTCTTTGATCATGATTGTGTTGTCTTTTAGGCCATGTGGACCTTGGCCACAAAGTCAGGGTCATTGTCTTGCTAGCCATCTGCATCTCACGGCAGCTGGGGATGTTGGTGTCTGACAAACCCGGATAAGCAAACTCCCCAATTCCCCCGGAATGAATGTACTATATACATGCATGTTCCTGCATCTCGAAGGATCCACGTCCAAAGGTTCTCTCCCCGGCCTCTGCCAAGTCTACCGAGTGCTTCGCAATCTGTGCCAGGCAGCTGCAGACCTCCCAGCGCATGCATAGCTGGCAAGCATGCTGCCCACTGAAAGACTGGGCCCATGGGGAAGGCCCAGGAAGGCTGGCCCGAGAGCCGTGGGGGGTTGACGGAAGAAAGTCCTGCACCGCATAGAACCATGGCAAGGATGGATGATGTCAGCTGTTGATCAAAAGGGTAGTGCAGAGAATCAATTTAAACGTCTAGACCGCCTAGGCTGAATCCAAGACATCTGGGATGGTAGATGCGAATTCCTGAGGTAGCGCAGTAATGTCCATATAAAGGTTGAGGAATGATCCAAAGTAACTTACGTCGCTACTAGGGGCTCCTGGCCCTACTACTAGGAGCAAGGACGCTACTAACTCTTCCCCAAAAGGAGATAGGACACTGATTCGACCAGTCTCTTGAGTGAAGGCTCGCCACTGCGTCTTCCTTCACACCAAGTCGAGCGCACCTGTCGCTTCAGCGGAGCATCGTTGTGGGAGATATCCTTGGCCAGCAGCGAGACCGCACCTGGCCAGAGAGGCACCGGCCCAGCCGAGCTAAAGGGGGATGTAAAATCCTTTACGCACATGAATCATGAATTTGCCCATCAACAGCAGGTGTGAGGGAAAGCCAATAGATCCCTTCAGAACAACCAAGCATGGAGAAAAAGCACTGGCATTCCGGAAAGATGTGCGAACAACGGTTCACAAGAAGAAGCATCGAAAGTGGACAGCTTCACCCCAAGTCCTTCGAGTACCCCCAATGTATATATGTAATCGCACAATCCGCGCACCTGCATCCACCACTGTTTGTGCTAGTTCCGGCGAGTGCTTGCAAATGTCACTGAGAGCAGACCTTGGTCGAAGCGAAGAGCAGTCGTTTCTCAGCGGGAAAGGGTTCCAGGACGAGAAGCGCCCAGCTCAAGCACCAAGTGTGCTCTCAGACCCCAAGGTTGGCGTCTAAATGTGAGAAACTCAGGTCCCTAGGAGTCAAGTCTTCATGAAACTCCCAGAATTGTCCAGAATGCTCGAGAACTTGAAAGCAAGGCACGACAAAGCTGACAAGAAGGGTGAGGATGAGGATGACAACACGAATTCAACAAAGGACTATACAACGTCATAACGTCATGATACTGAAGGTGATGATGAACATGAGGAGGGATCTTTCTTCAGCTAGGGCTTCTGAACCCACGGGCGTCCTTGCGGCACCCACTCTGTACCCATGAAAAACTGTGCCCCAGACGCAGAGATGCGCTTCAAGGTCAGCTCAGGTTCTTGGAAGCAGAGCACCAACAAAGGCACGGCACCTCAGATTGAAGAAAAAAGAACTTAAAACATGCTAAACCGAGACTGTACCCTAGACTCAAGTGGACTCCAAGAACCTGATTGATTGACTGATCATGCCTCTTGTAACAAAGAGCATCTCCCGCTGGAATGGTCGAAACACCGAAGCCAAGTGGTGACCAAAATGAACAAGCAAAAAACAGGTGTAAGATGTTGGCCGATCTCATGTTGCTGGAATTTGGTGGCTGACGCGGCTAACAGTAAAACAAGTTTGGCAAACTCGGAACTGGGCCAAAAGATGGGTCACGGAAGTTGAAACTAGTGAGTCAAGACAAGCATGCAAAGAGGTGCAAACTCTCTGCAAAACTTCTATTGTGGCACGAGTCACGAGATTCATAAAGGCTAATTGCCAAGGGATTTCGGACTATCTTTACACACCGAGCAAATCCCCACAAATGCCCTGAGGGTTGAATTGGTCCACTGTGATTCAAGGCCTCACAAAAGGTGAGTCAGAAGCTTGGAATTCTTCCCTCTAGCTAGCTCCATCCTGGTGAACCTCGCGCCAATGCGGCCTGCATCCACCACCGTCTGTGCCAATTCCTTGGTGTGCCTGGCCATCAGGTGTCCAACTAGCCATTCGAGCTGAAGGCTTGGAATTTCCAAGTGATCATGTGCAAACGCCTTTGAGTTAATCTGCTTTTCAAAGTAACGTGACTTACAGCCCCAGCAGCCACAAGTACTGTTGCGTGCATGGTCTTCTTCCAAGAAAAACTCCAAGTAGTCTTTCTATCCTCCGTGTGTTACCTCATACATGCGGCACACCACCACCCTGTCTGCCTGGCAATGTAGCCCAGGGCCCAGGCTGCAGCTTCCTAGCAAGGCAAAATGGCGTTGCGTGTCACCAGCAACCAGCATCAGGTATTCATAGGAGGTTTCTGAATCTCCCACATACCTCAATTGTAACACCAAGAAACGCAAACGTCGCATGACCATCTCGTGAGCCAAACCCCTCTCCCTGAACCTACGGTCTCCGCCTCCGCGTTCCCTGGATGAAATGATTGGAAGCAAGACCAGTTGCGGGACTGAAGATTCCAAGCACTCCGGATTCTATCTAACTGTCCACTGACAGCAGCCGCCCACCGCACCCACCATGCCCATCACCAACCACCAAACCCACCCATGGCAAAAAAACACCCGGCCCAACACAGCCCAAACATCTCCACCAGTTCCTTTGCGAGCCTTGACGGATGGATCAAACTCTTCCAGACAGTTCACAAGGGCTTCCAAGGCGCCAGAATCCACCACCGCCTCTCCGCCGTCGACGTTCGTCAATTGGTCAACCAGGATTGGGCATCGAAGAACCCTTCATCGAAGAACCCTTCTGAATCCCAGGTTTGCTTGCAAAAATGACTATGACAACGGATCCCTGTTGGGGAGGCATGTGGCTCTCAACAAGCAAATCTCTTTGAAGACTACTGGGGCCCGCTCAACCAATATCCCTCGAATCCCCCAACGTGACCGCCAACATCCTCCAGCCTGAGCCAGTTGCGGGGAGTGCTTCGACACCGCGCGCAGGACGAAGGCAGCCGCCTGAGATTGGGTCTTTGGATCTTTGCACTCACTGTCTATCCCCCGCCCAAGCTTCCTGTAGAGGAAGTTCCCAAGAGACTCCTAAGACAGTGATGTGTGTCTTTGACCCAATCATTCGAGATATGTGTGTGTGTGTGTGCACCCACGAGTACACTTGGCCGGGAGTTTGCACGGTGTCTTCGGGTAGAGAAGTTGAGATATCAACGTCCATCTCTGGAATTGCCGGAAGTGAACAAGTGCTGCCTGTTACTGTTGTCTTTCACTGCAAGTATTGCCCAAAACCAAGTGGGTGCCACGCAAGGCATGAGTGTCGGGCCCAAAGGGGCCTCCCTTAGAGATTCTGTGCTCCACTCACGATGTTTCTCCAGAGACTCTGCGCATGTGAAGGACGACCAAACAATCAAAAAATATGTTTCTAGCGAGATTCTAGTGGGTTCTTCAGCTTTGGCAGTTGAGTTATTTCACTCTAATCCTCACACACACACACACAGTTTTGTATTTCCTTCCCAGGGCAATCATCTTGGTTCATCCCTCCTGTAGAACCCTAGAACCAACCAAGAACTTTTGTCAAACATGCTTGTTGAGGCTATGGACAAGCAAGGCATACTAAAAACAGGGTCGAAGCAAGGATGATCATCCACCACCAGTCAGCCTTTTTGTAGAAGCGGTTTTGCTGCGCCAGCGAATACCTGGAAAAACTGACGCAAACAACACCTGCAGTGCCTGCTGCCTAGAATGGTTACCAATGGTTGCCTTTGTCTCCAGACTTAGACAAATGATTGGCAACTGTGATTTACCTTGACAAGAGGACAGGTGAATCGTGAAGTGGCTTTTTGGCACCCTTTGATGTGTACTCTATGCGTGATATATATATATATATTTAGTATGGCCAAATCTATGTAGCCCATAAGACGCAAAGGTTCACTTAATTGCCCTCTGAAAGTTTGATGGAGAAAACAATGTGGTTCATACTGGCTTGGGATGTTCAAAGTCCCAAAAAACCTCATGGCACCTAAAATGACTGCTCTGGCAGTCCTTTTGAAAACCTCCTTGGTGTGTCCAACAAAGACTTGCTTGCACGACCCAACTTTGGGCATTGTGCTTACAAGAGCTAGTTAGACATGACTGGGTGTCATGCCATGGTCAAAATGTGCCAACTGCCTACTTCTGGGGCTCTAGCACTTGGGTGGGTCTACCAGTCTACCACCTGCCCCAGCACCAGCGGCAGGCGCACACAAGCTGTGGAAGGATCTCATGGGTGACTACGGACTCCGCCAATTCGTCACTGGCGGCGCAGAGCGGGTGGACCAAAAGAGCTCTTGGGTGATGAGGAGAGCTATCGAAACAAACAACAACCACGTTGTTGTGTTTTGTGCCAAAGAGTCGTTCATCAAAAAAATGGAGCTTGAAAATGTGCCATCCGTGTCATTCATGTTTGATGTACTGTTTCAAAAAAACATCAAATTAGCCCAGCTGGAGACCCCAATAGCAAGATACAAACCGGGACAAAAAGAAAAATCTGGAAACAGCTGCTGTTTTCAACACATCGACCATCTCTTCCTTGGACACCATCATCACATAACCGGGACACCATCACAAAATGACCAGGGCACCATCAAAACATGACCGGGACACCGTCACAACATGACTGGGACACAATCACAACACGACCGGGACACCATCAAAACATGACCGGGACACCATCACAACATGACCGGGACACCATCAAAACATGACCGGGACACCATCAAAAACAGGACCGGGACACCATCACAACATGACTGGGACACAATCAAAACATGATCGGGACACCATCACAACATGACCGCGCCACCATCACATGATCGGGACACCATCAAAACATGACTGGGACACCGTCACAACATGACTGGGACACAATCACAACATGACCGGGACACCATCACAAGGTGACCGGGACACCAACATGACATGACGGGAAAACCATCACAAGATGACCAGGACACCATCACAATATGACCGGGACACCGTCACATGACCCAGACACCATCAAAACATAACCGGCACACCGCCAAAACATGACCAGAACACCATCACAACAGGACCGGGACACCATCAAAACATGACCGGGACACCGTCACAACACGACCGGGACACCATCAAAACATGACCGGGACACCATCAAAACATGAC